CCAATTTCTTCTTTAATTGATCGCCTTGTCATGAGCGTCACCTGTGTTTGTTCTCAGGAGTTACTCTACCGGTGTTTGAGCATTATCAGGAGGGAGGAGACAGTAAGAATCATATTCCGTTTATGTTCTGAAGAAACAGTTCACCCAAAAATTAACGTTTGCTGAAACTGTGCTCACCCTCAGGCCATCCAAGATGAGTTTGTTTCTTCATCAGATTTGGAGAACTGTAACATCGCATCACTTGCTCATCAATGGATGCTCTGCAGTGAATGGGTGCCGTCAGAATGAGAGTCCAAACAGCTGATAAAAACATCACAATAATCCACAAGTAATCCACACCACTCCAGTCCAGCAGTTAATGTCTTGTGAAGTGAAAAGCTGAGTGTTTGTAAGAAGCAAATCCATCAAAGCAATTTAACTGTTGCTAATATTATGGATTATAGACTCATATTTTGGCCGGAAGCAATTTGTTTCTTTTCGCTTCACAAGACATTAACTGACGGACTGGAGTGCTGTGGATTATTGTGATGTTTTTATCAGTTGTTTGGACTCTCATTCTGACGGCACCCATTCACTGCAGAGGATCCATTGCTGAGCAAGTGATGCAATGCTACATTTATCCTTTCGCTTCTTCCAAATCTGATGAAGAAACAAACTCATCTACATCTCGGATGGCCTGAGGGGAGAACATTTTCAGTAAAAGTTCATTTTTGGCTAAACTATTCCTTGATTAGCATATACCTGTGAAACTGGAGCTCGTTTGAACACTTTCAGGTGTCATTTCAGGCATTTTTTCTTGTCTGTAGGTTATGAGCTCACTGGTTTGGCCAGAGGTGGAGAGCAGCTGTCTCGGCTGAAGAGGAACTACGCCAAAGCAGTCGAGCTTCTTGTAGAGCTGGCCTCACTGCAGGTATGAATATATTTATTCATATCCATAAAAGAAAATGTAAAAATGTAATGTCTCAATGTCTAATGTGATTCATTCACACACAGACCTCTTTTGTGACGCTGGACGAGGCCATTAAGATCACAAACCGCCGTGTGAACGCCATCGAGCACGGTGAGATCTCACAGCCGCCTCGGAATGAGAATGAAACCTTCAGGCTTCTTGTAAAGAAAAAAACCGAGATAATGTGACGCTCGTGTGTCTTTCCTCTCAGTGATTATTCCCAGGATCGAGCGCACGCTCACGTACATCATTACTGAGCTGGATGAACGAGAGCGAGAGGAATTCTACAGGTGAGACTGTAGTGCAATATAGCCAGATCATGTGACAACAATGTAGCATACTACTGCTTCAAACGCTTATTGCTTTATCTACATCACTGTTATTTTAGTATCATTGAGATAATATTATAGCTTTAAATTCGTTTTTTAAATTTTAGATAAAGTTTTAGTAATTTTGTTGTGTTTTTGTAATTTTGTTGTGTTTTGTTTCTTTTTAAATATATTAAAATATATAGTTTTTTATTTAGGTTTTAGTTCATATATAAATGAAAGTGAGAAATGTTGCCTTGGCAACTAGTTGAAATAAAATAAAATACATTTTTGTTATTTTATGATTTTTCTAGTGCCAGTCAAATGATTAATCGCATCCAAAATAAAAGTTTTTGTTTACATAATATATGTATGTGTACTGTGTATATTTATTATGTATAAATAAATACACACACATACAGTAAATATATTTAAAATATAAACATAACATACACTGAACAAAATTATAAACACAACACTTTTGTTTTTGCCCCCATTTTTCATGAGCTGAACTCAAAGATCTAAGACTTTTTCTATGCACACAAAAGGCCTATTTCTCTCAAATATTGTTCACAAATCTGTCTAAATCTGTGTTAGTGAGCACTTCTCCTTTGCAGAGATAATCCATCCACCTCACAGGTGTGACATATCAAGATGCTGATTAGACAGCATGATTATTGCACAGGTGTGCCTTAGGCTGGCCACAATAAAAGGCCACTCTAAAATGTGCAGTTCTTAAATATATACATGCATGTGTTTGTATTTATATATACATAATAAATATACACAGTATACACGCATATATTATGTAAACAAAAACATTTCTTTTGGATGCGATTAATCGTTTGACAGCACTAGTTTTTTCATTTAACATTTATTTCAAGTAACTGAATTTTTTTATGGTTATGATTTTAGTTTTAATTTACTATAATAACCCTCATCTATATATGAAATTGGTTTATGTATCAAAATATCAATACTTATTAGAGGTCGACTGATATTGGAGTTTGCTGATACAATAATAATTTGTTTGAAGAATTGTAATAACCGGATTATTGTGCTGATACAAGTAAAATCTATATATAAAACATGTTAAATAATAGTCTTATTCTTTCCTTCCCTGTTATAATGATAAACAATCCCAAAATGCACTGGGACTCTTATTTTGAAATGTTTTTGTTTTACTACTTCCAGCCACTCATTCAGAATGATGAGGGAAATAATATATGCAATCGTACAGCTATCTACAACAAATTATAATAAAAACATAATTTATTATTTTAATAATCAAATTAGCCCATATTGCGATTCCTGTTTTTCCGTCCCCAAATTTAAGACTTCTTAAATTTATTCATATTTATTGTTACTTCTGTTACCATTTATTTAAGATTTTTTATGACTTTAAATGTAATAAAACTTGACTTTTTAAGGAACCTGTTACAAAGAATGCTGCTTTTAGCAGTCCAAATGAAATATTATATTAATATAATATTTATATTAACATTATATAAATAAATATCATATTTATATAGTCCAAAATAAGATATTCAGAATATTCACCAACCCTTCATCAACCTGCTTTCCCGTCGCAGGCTCAAGAAGATCCAGGAGAAGAAGAAGCAGCACCGTGAGAGGACGGAGAAGGAGAACGCCCAGCGTCAGGCTCAACTGGGCCCGATCGCCGAGCCCATGAACATGCTGAACGATGAGGCCGACGAGGACATGCTGTTTGAATGAGATCTGTGCTGAACCCACAAACCACATCATATTTATTCTTTGTGCCTGTAAGGCCGAGCTTTACGGGAAAAGTGGAAGATCTTGTTTTGTGTGTATGTTGGTGCCATCACTTCTTTTGTTTAGGATGAATAGTACATCACAGATGCTGCAACAATGTGCAGGTCGATCATCTGAATCCAAAAACCATTTAAAGTGGAAGTTTTTTTTTTTTTTTTAAATGTCTGAACAGAAAAGAAAACCTGTAAAATAGTTCAAATGAATTAAAATGACCATCCCATTGAATTGTACTTATAAGCATGCGTGTTAAACCAGTGCAACCTTCTCCGTTAGCTAGTGTGTGATAACTGAGAGTATTCTGTGGTCAAATAGTTCAATGTTGACATAATCCTTACCGAACATCAGCCCAGATTCTTCCTCATGCCCAGTTGCTGGTTCTCCATGCAAATGTGTACTCAAATCCCACTTCCTGTAAATTAAATTTTAATAAATGTTGTACATGGTCATTTGCTTGGTCATTTGTTGATTAGTTAGTGTGATGAACACAAAATGGGTTGCAAATGCATGTTGACTTTAAACTTTTAAAATCAAACTTGATTTATAGCCAAAGCTTGTTTCTGCCACGGGATAAAAAAAATGTAAAAAGGTAATAGCCCCTTTTTTAATATCACAATTGTGAAATGTTTCTTTTATATGTTCTAGAATTGCAGTATATGTAAACTCACAATTCTGAGAAGTTGCAACTGCGAGAAAAAAAAGTTTAAATATATATTATAATGTGGCAGAAACAAAAAAACTCAGAAATAATTGTGAGATAAAAAGGAATTACATTTCAAAAACTTTTATCCAGTGGCGGAAACAATATCATATTACTGTAATTTGCTTAAAATTCAAAAAAAAAAAAAAAAATCAAATTCACATATTCACTAAATTTCAATGTAGAAATAAATGTTAAATCACGAAATGAACATGTGCTTCAGTGGTTTTGCACTCAAACTGTTAAGCGTTGCATATATACCATTACGCCAACTTTTTAATTGAACTTTTTTAATGAAAAACAATTTTAACATTAGTTTTAGCTTAGGTGTTGTCAAATCATACATTCAACACGTTTTACATTCAATGTCAATGTGTAATATGTTACCTTAAGAACACTGAAACAGATTTACAGCTTTATGACACTGCTCACAAATATCCTCCATGATGAGGAAACAATTTAATATGTATCTACATTAAAAAAATTATTTCAATGCTTGTTTTTCTTCTTTTTTTTACAGGTGTGGAAATGTTAGAGGTGAAATACTAAAAGCACAAAATACGGTAAAACAATATTGCAAAAATCTCCACAAAACTTATGGAAGTCCATATTGCAGCAATTCAGGCCTATTTGGAGTGAAAAAAATACTGTACTGCATACTGTGCACAATGTACAGCATACTATATTTATGTGAATACATCAATTTAATTTATGTATACACATAAATAAGTATGTTTAAAAGAATAATTCACCCAAAAATTCAAATATGCTGAAATGTACTCACCATCAGTCCATCCAAGATGAAATGTAGCATTGCATCACTGTCTCGGCAATGGATGGGTGCCGTCAGAATGAGAGTCCAAACAGCTGATAAAAACATCACAGTAATCCACACCACTCCAGTTTTTGCTTGTAAACGGTGCTTGATCTGTGCAGATTTCTCTCCTGATTCAGACCAGATGACTTTTTAACTGGAAGAAGCAATATTATGGAAAGAAGCAACAGTTTGAAGTTAAAAGCGTCTTGATGGATTTGTTTGTGTCAAACACGCAGCTTTTGTCTTTTCAAGACGTTAACTGATGGACTGGAGTGGTGTGGATTACTTGTGATGTTTTTATCAGCTGTTTGGACTCTCATTCTGACGGCACCCATTCACTGCAGAGGATCCACTGCTGAGCAAGTGATGCAATGCTACATTTCTCCAAATCTGATGAAGAAACAAACTCCTCTACATCTTGGATGACCTGAATGGGGAGAAAATTGTCAGCAAATCTTCATTTTGGGGTGAACTATTCCTTTAACAAGTAGACACACACAAAAGGAAGCACACTGTGCACAATATTCATACTGCAAAAACAGTATGAGCAGTATGGTGGCCATTTCAAACATACCGCTTGTTGCTCCTCATCAGAGCAATTCTAGCCTTCAACAGTGAAAACACATAATTTCTTCTGAACTGAAAGTGTTGTTTAGCTGTCCCAGGCTGAAGGGACCCACTGCGGCTCGATGTCCAGTTTGCCAATGAGTCTCAGCAGCTCAGAGACACTCTTGTCCTGCTCGATGTTTGTGATGACTGCATCGAACAAGTGACTGTAGCTGTGCTCCATCTCACGCACTTTCTCCAAGGTCTCTCTCACATCCTCGGGCTGCGCAAAGAATATTACATGATAATAATTGGTTTGTCAAATGCTCAAAGAGAAACCTAATGTGAAATATGATTTAAAGGGATAGTTCACCCAAAAATGAAAATTCTGTCTTCATTTACTCACCCTCATGTCGTTCCAAACCTGTATGAGTTGCTTTCTTATATCGAACATAAAAGAAGATATTTTGAAGATTGCTGGTAATCAAATGGTTGGTGGTTGCCATTGACTTCCATAGTAGGAAAAAAAATACTATGGAAGTCAATGGCAACCACCAACTGTTTAATCTTCAAAATATCTTCTTTTATGTTCGATATAAGAAAGCAACTCATACAGATTTGGAACGACATGAGGGTGAGTAAATGATGAGAGAATTTTCATTTTTGGGTGAACTATCCCTTTAAGTGTTTTCCCATATGCAACTGTACATCTAGCAGTCAAAAGGTTTGGACACACTTAATAAAAAGATTTTCCTTGTGTTCTCAAAAACCTTTTGATCTAAAGGCTTTTACTTAAAAGCTTCAAATATGAAAATATTTTTGATAAAAAATATATCATTAAATTAATAGTGAATGCGTTTTATTAAAAAATATATTTTTTAGTTTTTTGGATGAATTGGATCAGATTAAATTTAAAGCAGCATTTTTACTTTATATTATATATATATGTATGTGTGTGTATAGTTGACTGCAAGTGTAAATTATCTAAATGAAAAATGTGTATCATGAAGACCATGTGTTTCTTCACTCCTCTGGTTAGCAGGGTGGAGAATCGCTCCTGAGGAGGAGGAGGAGGAGGAGGCCTGATGAAGATGATGTACGGTTTAAGATCTGAGGAACACAGCAGTCGCAGGGACTGAGAAATACAAAACACAAATGAACAAATGAAATGTAAACCAGAAAAAGAAACCAATACATGTAATGTACTGAATATATTGTAATGTTCACTGTCTAATAGTCTGAGATGGATCTGTTTTTCAATCTGCAACAAATACCAAAATCCTATGAATGGACATCATAATTAAGATTTCACAACTAAGATTATTTTCCTGGCAATTAAGCACATTAGCCTACAAATTCACATTATTGTATGCCACGTTGTTTTAGGTGTTCTGATTATTATTATTTTGTAATTAGACTTAAGAGTAAATTTTTTATATTATATTACAGTCAGGGTCACAAATTAATAGAGAAATTAATTAATGGAAAAATTCCAATAATTCCCACTGTTCTAGATATAGATTCTGATGTTGACATAAAATGATTTTTTTAATATCATTTTTCATATTTTTTTAATAAGATTTTCTAGATCATCTTGTGCCTCAATAACTTTAAATTGAAGATGAAACATCCCTACTTAAGTCTCATCTTTTATAGCACCATTAGGTATTTTCTGCAGGTTATTTTATCCCCAAATAGTACATAGAAATCTCAAACTGCAATTGTTTTTTGAAGTTTGGAATGAGCGCACAAACTATTTAAATCAGCAAATATCAACCTTTAAAAATGAACGATTAAAGTCATAATTAGTGCTGTCAAACGATTAATCACATCCAAAATAAATGTTTTTGTTTACATAATATATGTGCACTGTGTATATGTATTATGTATATATAAATACACATGCATGTATATAAGAATTTTTTTGGTTTATATATAAAATATTTATATATTTTAATATATAAATATATATACATGTAAATATTAAAAAAATATATACATGCATGTGTGTGTATTTATATATACATAATAAATATACACAGTACACACATATATTATGTAAACAAAAACCTTTATTTTGGATGTGATTAATCGTTTGACAGCACTAGTCATAATACAATGTATTCTGTCATCATGTGTGCTTTAGCTACAATTAAGTCTAACCTACAGTTAGAATACTGTAATTTTTGTGCCACTAATGCCACCAAACACAATTGCAAAAAGAATGATTGTTCTCAACCTCAAATTGATCAATTATTTGATAACACCACCATGTTACACTTTACGGGGGAAACATCATGCTTACAGTAGATCAGTTTGGACTGGGATACCACTATGTATTTTAACATACAAAGAAAACACACTTCAAGTAAACATTTCTTTTGATGATGAATACTGGATTTCAGCAGTGCCCTTTTGGTAGAAAAAGCACCTGATAAAAATGTACGCAAAGTTGCAAACAGAAAACAAGAGACTATATCAATTGTAGTTGTATTTAATAGAGTCATAACTATACAATTAACAAGTTCATACAAAAAATAAAAGGCCCCCAAAAAATCCAAACATGCAACGTATCTACAAATCTTCCAGGTGATAATCTATGTGCCATTTCTTGAAGCAGTTACGTGACGACACAAAGCACAATGCCACCTTGAAGTGGGAGCAGTATATGGGAGTCTTGACTTTACTTCCCTGCAGTTTGCACATGACACAAACTCGCCTCCCATGCGTAGCATCAGAACTGAAATACTCAGGATAGCATTGCTCCGTCTGGGCGGGCGAGGCTGGGGGAGACGACTCCGTGTCGGACGGCGAATATGCATTCGTTTCATTAGGGGTTGAAGGCACCTGTGCTGACATACTTATGGAGACCGGCGTGGCGGATGTTGAGGGATCTTTGGCAGCAGACGAAGAAGGATTCTTACCTCTGCCGGCACGTGCAAGTTCTGAAACAAGGGTTTCCCTAAACAATTTTTGGCTGAGTGGGACCTTGTTCTGAGCTTTCGCCAATTCTTGGTGAAGGATTGACCACTGCGATGTCAAGAAAATGGAAGAAGAAGGTCTTGTACCATTTTGTGGTTTTGTGGAGGACATTATAATACTTTGTGAGGGAATCCGAGAAATCAACACCTCCCATGTATTTGCTATAGTCCTTCACAGCAGATGGAACAGGAATTAGACATGTTCTCCAAACCCCATCGGAACCCTTGGCATTCCTGGTGACCGTATCCCCAGTAAACGCCTTGTGAACTGAGGAACACATGAGGACTTCTCTCGCGTCCATCCATTTGACGAACAGAAGAGGACCTTGCCGATACCAACGGATGGATCCTAACTCAGATCTTCCACTCAGGTCGTTGGCCTTCGGTAAACTGGAAGTATGGCGCAATGTGCCACAAGCGAGGATGCTGTTCTGCAACAAATCCAAGAAAAGAGTTGGGCTGGTGTAGAAATTGTCCATGTATAACCTATAACCCTTGCCGAGGACCTTGTGATCCAGTAGTCTCATTACCTAATCGTACCCGGCACCTTTACCTGACGACGTTGAAGTCTTTCCTTCGTATACAAAGAAATTCCAGGTGTACCCGCAGGACGAATCGGCAAGAACGAAGTTTGTAGCCACATTTAGTTTGTTTGTCATTCATATATCGCTTAAGTCTAATCCTAGCTTTGGTAGTGACCATTCTCTCATCCACCAGAATCTCTCTGTTGGGGTGAAAGTGTTTCCTACACGCCGAAAGAACATCCGTGTACAGAGGCTTGATTTTGAGCAGTCGGTCATAACTTGCGGTGCCTTTCTTCTTGTTGTTCTCCTCGTCCTCCTGAAGATCACAGAGGTAAAGATTCCAGGAGATGGCCTGAAATCTTGCTTGGGAAATGATGGACTGCGGGTACGAGAATTGTACATTTGTTTTCTTGCCCAGTAGTCCGCTATTGACTTCGCCTTCACCAGCCCCATGTAGACAACTAACGTCACATACGAGTAGAACTCGGCTACGGTTAGAGGTACCCAGACGAACTTCTTTCCAGCTTTCACCCTCTTTTCGGCATTGCTATTAGTGTTTCGGACTATTGTCTTGACTGCAGAGTTGGTGAAAAAGAGTTGGAACAACTGTAAGGGCGTATACATTGCGTCCGCTGTGAGATGCAGACCTGGAGGTCTCTTGGGAGAGAAATTCGGTAGTACCGGTTCCTCATCCTCATTGCTGATGTCAAGCCACTTATCTGGCTTACACTCAATTTTCATCCAAGGTGAATCCAAAGCTGAAGACAACCTGCTTCTGGCTTGCCTTGGTGAATAAGTAGTTGCAACGAGCTTCGATTCTCTTCGGTCAAAGTGGGTTGCGGCATAGCTTCAGAAGTGGAAGTAGGTTCGGGATTGTGTTCAGAATTGGTGGAGATGGCGGGATTGGGAGCGGGATCTAAACTTGACGCAGGGATGGCATCAGCGGAGGGATCAGAGATGATTACAGGAGTGGAATCAGCTGCTGGTAACGAATTAGTGATAGCTGTAGAGCGATCAGGAGTTGGTTTAGGTGAGAGGTTGAGTTTTAAAGCATGCTTTCATGGCCGGCCTCTTCGGCGTGGTAAAGTGGGTGCTCGATTAGGGGTAGGTGTGGGAGTGGAATTGTGGTTGGTTGTGGGAATGGCTTCAGATGTGGGTGTAGGAGTGGCTTCAGGAGCAGGTTCAGACGTGGATAGAGAGAGTTTGTCTATCGGTCCTGATGATGTGGTTGTAGGGGGGTTGCCTCCTCTTGGTGACTGAGCTGATGCAGGTGATTTTGAACGATCCGGACTTTCCAGAAGAGGGTTCCAGTCATCACCAGAATCAAGACTGTAATACAAAATAAACACGCTTTATATGCATGGACTCAAAAAAAAATTGACTCGGTGGCTACAATAACAACAACTGAAAACTAGTATCAGGACTAACCCTATAAAGCCTTCCATGAAATCAGAGTCCAAAAGAAAAAAATACATTTAAGTTTAAGGACCCTTTAGATGTAATTCAAAAAAATAAAGTCTGCATGTGTTTTTATTGAGTATCATATTTGATACATCAGGCTTTTATTGAAAATGGGATTCATACTTAAGGTAAAAACCACCTCAGATTTATTCAAGGGGTCAAACTGAGCAAAAATATGCAAGTTACAGGTTCTATGGTCAAAAAGTAATCTGAAATGCATATAAATATCAGTTGTCACTCATTCTCCCAATAATATATCATAGTAAGATGAGATTTAAATGCTTGGTTTTATTGACTGTATTTCTGCACATTTTTAAGTCAAATTTAAGGCTTTTTAAGACCTTTTCAGAACATGAAAAAAACTGAAATTAATACTGTACACTAGGGGTGTCTGTGCAATACTGACAAAAAATTCTATTTCCATATTTTGGGGAATTTTGTTGATTAGACAATAGACAATATTTTACTGTGCAAGTTTTTGAATGCATTTACAACTGCCTAAATAATGATATGAGGCTGGTTTTTAATTATTTAAATTAAAAGGTACCAGTACTTTAAATATAAAACCGCCAGTTGGTGGCAGCAAGTCACTGTCTTTTGCTTGAGTTGAGTGAGCCATTAATTCAACCGATTTGTTCAAATGGATTCATTCAGGAACGAAGAAAGTGACAGCTGTCTTTATGAACGGATCACTGAATCATTAAACTCATTTGTTTAAAACGCTAAGACATTCTGTAATGAAGCACCTCTGTGTTGCTCTGAGACGCACAACAGTTCTGCTGTGGTTTCATTTGGAAAATTTCGTTTCACAAAATTTGAAAATATATTTAATATACACTGAATTTATTTATTGACTGTTTATTGAACTGTTAAATCAATATCACATTTGCAGTCGTGCTAATATTTAAAAAGCACTCACAAAATCACAATTTTTTCATTTTTTGCAAAATGTTACGTATGTAAACAAGACTACATACAATAACATTGAGTTGTAGTAAACTGCTATATCTTCAATCAGATTTTAGACCTCAACACAACATTTAATGCCTATCAGAAAAAAATACACATTTAAGAGATTTTATTCAAATCATAGATTTTTTTGACTTTTTAATGACCCACAGGAACCTTTTATGATTGAAGCGCTGTCATTTTTATTGTGGAGGGCAATACATAAAATGCAATCCAATACAATGATGACTGAGAGATGCACAAATAAACGTTCCTCAAAAACCTGATGGATCATATTTGATACTCACATTTGAACAAAATGTTTCTAAAAATGATGTATGGATAATCAAGTAAACCTAAATAGCTTCAGTCCAGTAAGTGTTCACCTGACATAACCCTATTACTGACATAACCCTTCAAGAATCTTTTTTAAAAATAAGAGAGAAACATGAACAGAAAGCAGTGGTTTTCATTGTATAGAATTTTATTTTGTATAAAAACACAACATGTTTTTGCATTCTACTAGATGGATGCCTTTGACCACTGCGATCGCGTCTTGCATCTTTTGCAAACAAATTCAACATATCTTGAGAACTTTTTATTAAATGCAAAAATGTTTTCTGTCTTATTGACCCTGAATGACACAACTCTACCATAAATGCAAGACTTCCTTACTCACTCTTCTTCCCACAGTTCCTCTTCCCTCCCCGAATCACTGATCTCATTGCTGTCGCCATCAAGGTCGCTGTCAGCCCGAGGCCTGGTGGGTGCAGGATTAGGTTTGGGATCAGATGTGGGTTCAGTGGTGGGTACTGAGGTCAGTGGTTCATCAGTGGTTGTGGGTTGAGAGGTGGGTACATGATCAGAAGTGGCTATGGGTGCAAGTTCAGGCAGGGGACTATGGGTAGTTTTTGAGGTGTGCTTCAAGGGCCCGTCTGTCCGTAGAGGTGTTGTGGATTGAGGGATCGGGAGTTAGAGTCGTTGCCTCTTTGCATTTGATGATTCTGAATCCTCTTGACTTTCTTCCCTTGTAAAAGGCCATTCTTCAATAGCATCCACACTGTAACACAAACCAGACATGCTTCATTACGCATGCACGTGGCACAATTTACAGCACATTAACAATATACAAACACTACTGTTCAAAAGTTTGGGGTTGGAAAGTTTTTTAATGTTTTTAAAAAGAAGTTTCTAATGTTCACCAAGGCATTTGTTTGGCAAGCAATGCAGTAAAAACTGAGACATTGTGAATTATTACATTATTATTATTACAATTTAAAATAACGTTTCTCTATTGTTATATATATTAAAACATAAACAGCATTCTATTAAGTTGATTTGCTGCACACAAATACATTTATTGTCATTATTTTACATTATTATTTTAGCATTTATTTGAAAAATAAATCTTTTGTAACATCATAAATGTTTTTACTGTCACTTTTGACCAGTTGTGTCATTGCTGAATAAAATGCTAATTTATAAAAAATAAATATATATATATACAGTGGTGTGAAAAAGTGTTGGCCCCCTTCCTGATTTCTTATTTGGTTCCTCTTCCTTCACTGACTTGATCTCATTGGTGTTGCCATCTAACAGAAGCCCCGTTGATGTGGGTGTACAGATGAGTGTGGCTATCGGTGCCTGATTGGAGGCGGGTGTGGAATTCGGGCTAAGTTTAAAAGTGGAAGCGGGATTAGAGATGAGTATGGGTGCAGAATTAGGGTTCAGTTTAATGGAGGATGAGGCATTGGTAAGGGTTATAGGAGTGAAATTAGGGTTAAGCGTAATGGTAGATGTGGAATGAGGGCCGAATTTAATGGAGGAATTAGGGATCAGCGTGGCATAAGGGGGGGGTTTAGGCACGATTGTGGCATATGGGGTGGGTTTAGGAAAGAGTTTGGCTTTTGATTTGTCCTTAGACGGTCTGCCTCCCTGTCGAGGTAAGGAGACGGCTGGGGTGTTTTTAGGCGTGCGGGCCATCGCTGGTGCTGCTGGGGAGGGTTTCAAAGCATTTTTAGGTGGCCGCCCTCTCCGGCGTGGTAAAGACGATGAAGGCGAGGAGGATGAGTTCCTCTTTAGTTTTGAGCGCCTGCGAGGCTCCCATTCTTCAGAAGAATCAATACTGTAACATAATGAATACACTTAATTGTTATATCACATTCAACTGGTTTATTGTGTTTTATTACACTTTAGGCAGCAGAAAGCATAAAAACCATAGGGTAAAAAATTATTCATGATTGGAAACAATACATGCATTGACTAAAGTGCTTGCAAGACTGTTTTGCTATTCTTTGTTGTATCATCTGATATTAATTCAGGTCAAACCGCTTAACACACAGATGCTATTCAAGCTTCGTCTTGTACACCTAAGGTTGAAAAATCTATGCTATGTTTTTGCAAACTTCTATAAGTTTAAAGATTTTAAAAGGTCCTGACAGTGATTGTTAGAAATACGACATAAAATGTCCCTACTATCTGACAGACATCACTGAAAACACAAAGTCAGACCTTTCTCATGATTAATCTAAACAAAACTGAAAAAGCAATATGTGACCTGTGCTGGCAAAATGAGTCACAATGAGCAAATTTTCAAAAATGGGTTATTTTTATGTTCGCATTCTCCATTAAAAGACCTTCAGAATGATGTATGATTTCTTGGAATCGGACGAAAAATGACTGAGCTACACCCGTTTGAAGTCGATCGAGTCAGCAAAGTCAATTTTGAGAAAAATAAAAGTTTTCACAGAGCAACGTTGCATCTTTTCCTACACTTATTTTCTTAATTACTATATTAAGTCAAAATATAGCTCATTTTTATTTTATCTTTGTAGTTATAAATCAGAACAGATGCAAAAAAAACAAAAACGAAAAAACAGTAGAACAAATATAAGAAAGAAACAAATAATGAATTACCTTTTTCATTTTACATATAAACAAAAGCATTCAAGAAAGAAAAACAAATCAAACGTAAAAATCCCTTTAGTGTGTTCATTACAAATAAATTGATTATTAAAACTACAAAAGCAGTTCAATCAAGAGCAGCGAGTGATCCCCTCTTTTCTTTTATTGTTAGATTAACATTAATGAGGCGGCCTATATTAAGACCTACTGTACTGCACGGATCTAATATAATGTTACACATCAGACGTTTTTCCCCAACAGTTCCCCAAACGTTCACTTAAGACAAAACAGATTATGTTTGTGTGAATACTTAAATACTGTAATTCTGTGTATATGTGTTAGGCCTGCGCTATAAAACGGTATCGATATTTATCGACGGTACACCTTCTTCGATAACGATATAAAAAAAATTCGATACTAGGCACGTGCTATGAGTGACGCAGACAGCACACACAAACAGGAACATGAGTGCTGTGCCTGCCTGTGATGAGGAGATTGTGAATTAAAAAAAAAGAATATTTGTCGAATTTAAAATAAATATTTGCATTTGAAGGCAAAAATAGAACAATGAATGTTAGGTGTGCGTCAGGGAGCGTCATCAGTGGAGCGCGAGATGCGGTGATGATGATGTAAGTGACGTTGTAGTTTAATGTTTTGTTAGTCTAGCCCACGAGATGCACCGTTGCTGCGTTATTCATTTAAAATATTAGAGAAATATAGAAGCTCAATGCCATTCACACAGAACGCATATTCAGCGCATTTTCTAGACGGTCACATATAACTGCTGCACTCGCGTCTCACAGAAGACATGAATATGAAGATGAGTGCTGTGCCTGCCTGTGATGAGGAGATTGTGAATTAAAAAAAAAGAATATTTGTCGAATTTAAAATAAATATTTGCATTTGAAGGCAAAAATAGAACAATGAATGTTAGGTGTGCGTCAGGGAGCGTCATCAGTGGAGCGCGAGATGCGGTGATGATGATGTAAGTGACGTTGTAGTTTAATGTTTTGTTAGTCTAGCCCACGAGATGCACCGTTGCTGCGTTATTCATTTAAAATATTAGAGAAATATAGAAGCTCAATGCCATTCACACAGAACGCATATTCAGCGCATTTTCTAGACGGACAAATATGACTGCTGCACTCGCGTCTCACAGAAGACATGTATAGAAAGCCATGCAAAGTTAAAACAGTTTAAACTTTTAGAAAACACGTTAAGAATTTGTGGAGGCTTATTCCTTTTCACTGCGTCTCATATGTTTTTAAATGCAGTCTGTGTGATGGGCGATTCGGCTCTTTGGATTAAGCGAGGCATAAATACGTGATGCTGTTTTGTTCATAATTGTTTATGCCATTTATGAAATTACATTTGATTTATATGAGTTAATTTAGACGTAATGCACGTTTGTTTTTATAGACAGTTATTTCCATGCGTTGACAGTTTAATGTGCTGCATTATTTTGCTCATTGCGCCCTCCTGTGGCCTCGGGAAACAAGCCAAACGTTTAACCTATTTAATCTGCATATAAAACATTAGAAATGAGATTTTTGTTTAATTTTTATTTTGTGTTTGACTATTAAATTGAGTTAATTTAAAAATACAGTGGTTAAAAGGTTATAAAAATGTCAGTAATTATTGATACAGTCAGCGTGAGAAACAAGCGGAGAAAAGATACTCCTTTCAGAAAACGTACAAATAAAGGTAATTAAACATCTAAAATTATTATTTAGAGCACTGGGATCGCTAGATGAGGGCTTAATGAACTCCTTTTTGTGAAAACCTCAATCGACATTTTTCACTTTTTTTTTTGCCTGTAGATTTTTATATTACCTGTAGCATATAAAATGGCAAAGGCTGTGATTAAATATATGTGCTGTGTTTCAGAGTGAACGGTGTTCTGTGATCAGCAGTAAATCTCCATCCGAAGGCCAGAGGGCGCTCTCGCGCTGAACCTCCTAATACGCCTCGCAGAAGAAACCCAGAAAATGCCTATCGCTGCAGCTGAATAAACAGAAGATTCAACTGCTTTCATTGATTCAACGTGACTAATAAACACACGACTACAGAGTTCTTATTATTATAATTTTCATTAAAATAAAGTATATTTATAAGGGGGTGCCTTTATCATTGCTTAGAATACTATGAAATATGTTGCGTGCCTTATTCTGTGTAAGAAGCCACATCATCTCACAGAAGGATTTATTTCAAACACTCGCCTGGCGTTATGAAGGGAGTTTGGAGTAAAAACATGTTATTAAATGTGGTATTTTCACATGCTTTCAGATGGAGCAGCATTTACTTCACAGAGCCGTAGTTCACTGACAAGCTACGCAAACAGCTGTCATTATCGCCAACGATTTCTTTGATTTCTGAATCGCATATTTTTTGCGTAACTTGTCAGTGAACTAGGCTGTGTTTAGTAAATTCTGCTCCATCTGAAAGCACGTGATGATGATTTACTGCTGATTACAGAACCGGCTTTTTAAACAAAATGCGCACGACAATCACATTCGATTAATCGTGCAGCCCTACGCTTCAGGTATTCGGCCAATCACAACGCACTGGATAGCTGGCCAATCAGAGCACACCTCGCTTTTCAGACCGATGAGCTTTGTAAAAATCAACGCGTTTCAGAAAGGCGGGGCATAGAGGAGAAACAATAATGTACAGCATGTGGAAAATAATGTGTTTTTTTAACCTTAAACCGCATAAACACATTGCATTACACCAAATACACAAAATAATGTTCTTTTTAGCAACATCATATGACCCCTTTAAATAATTTTCAATTTATCATAAAACAAGAGAACGTATTCTGCTGATTATTTGCAAAATATCTGGTGTGGCGATATTAGGAAAAAGTCTTTCAATGACATCAGGATCTTCTTATGAATAGCTTTTGAACATTTGGCTGGATAACAATGCTGTAACCATACCATTTGGCTGCAAGAAACATCTTTTTGAAAGCGGTGTATTTTTTGCAAACAGCAAATACATGCACAGCTCCCATAGAAGATTGCTGTTTTTGTTGCATAGCAACAATGCTTTAGCAGTGTCAGACCCTTTTGAAGCCCCTATAATTAATGAAGAAACTGACTGCTTTCTCCATGTATTATAGACCTTCTTGGGCACAGATTATCACTGCGCTTTTTCCCAATGATATATAGCTATACATTTCAGCCTATATATGAATTGCTGCCGTTTTTAAGAAATTGAAATGGAGCGAATCAACAGGCACATCCCCATTTAAAAAAAAAAAGATATTCAACTGCATTGTTACCAACCATAATCCTCAATATTTAGGTGACTGGACTTTATCATTCTAAAGAGCATTTGATTGGACAAAAATATGGATACGCCCCTGAGTGCAAGATGACGTCATTTAGATTTTGGCCCGTTTCCCAGATGAGAATTTTTTTTATAATGTAACTATATACATGCATATATGTATGTAGGTGTATATATATATATATATATATATATATAACCAACATACACACGCTATAAATAAAAATATTATTATTTATTAGTGCATTAGTTTTGATTTCATGCAGTCTTTATGCTTTGGCGTCTTGCAAGCACTGTTTTTTCTATCTAGCTTTAAAAACTGCATTCTGCATTTAAGCAATAAAAGGAGATTTTTCTACCCCACAACAGGTAAAAACGCTACACATGCATTACTCACTCTTCTTCTCGCGGTTCCTCCTCCGCCGCCGAATCGTCGAGCTCGTCGCTGTCTGACAGAGGTTTGTATCCAACTTCAGTATCGCAATCTTCTATTACGCACTCGATTTCATAAAACATTTGCTTTTTCGCTCCGACATCCTCCGCTGATGCCATTTCGAGCAGAAAAGGCGAAGAAAACTAAACGCTGCAGAACATGCGCGCAGACTCGCAGCGCCGGAGAGCCTTCTGCGTAAGCCCCGCCTCCCACCGCTACGTAGGGATCGTCGCAGGCTCTGATTGGAACACAATCTTGAGTGGCGTGACAACGACAGGCTGAGCTCATCAGTAATGCGACGTGAACCGAAAAGTAGACCCTTTTATTTATATTTTAAGAACCAAATATATATCTATATAAAAACATGTTTTTTAATGTAAAGATATTTATTTCAATGCAGTCTTGACTCTTGGTCCTTGCCTTTTTGTTTGTCTTGTCTTTGTGGTTGTGTTAAAATGTTTGGCAATAAATATAAATAATATTAAGAAAATAATATAAAGAATAAAATATTTAGATTTTTACTGCTCTCTGTTGTTGTAGTACTGCATATAAGAAAAACTGATGAAGTTAAGTAGTATGCAATTGTTTCATCAGCTACATATTTCACATTTTCACACATTTTAATACACGTTATTGCACATTACTTTAATGACCTTTTGCTTTTTTTAATTTATATCACATATGTCATACGGCCAACCAATTCCATGCATGCTGTAATTACTCCATCTTACCCTGGGATGCAGACACAGCAAACAGATTTTTCCTGAGTTGACAACCTGTCTGACTGAATCTGTATTTGTGCCGTACAGGTTCTGTTCAAACTCGCCCGACTCGATGAATTTCCCTGCAGCCAGGTCACAGTCAAAGCTCTGCCGTGATACAAAGTTGTACTCCCTGCCGTTGACCTCATGTGCACGGGGGTTTCGTGTGGTGTCTGTAACGTGTTCAAAATCACAAATAAGTACAATAGATATGCATAAACAAAATAACAGTCTGTGTATAAATGCATGACTGTAAGTATGCATTAATTCATGGTTGTATTTAACCCAGTTTTTCTTAAAGAAATAGTTCACCCAAAACTGAAAATGTGCTCACCCTCAGGCCATTCAAGATGTGTTTGTTTCTTCATCAGATTTGGAGAAATGTTGCATTGCATCACTGGCTCAGCAGTGGATGCTCTGCAGTGAATGGGTGCCTTCAAAATGAGAGCCCAAACAGCCGATAAAAACATCACAATAATCCACACCACTCCAGTCCATCAGTTAACAATTTGTGAAGCCAAAAACTGCGTGTTTGTAAGAAACAAATCCAGCATTAAGGCATTTAACTTCAAACCAAATCCTCTATCCATAATACTGCTTTCTCCAGTCATCTCGCCTGAATCAGGAGAGAAATATTCACAGATCAAGCATCATTTACAAGCCAAAACAGTTCAAAACAAATATGTGTGTGGATTTTGATGTGAGAGGACATTTTCACTAGATTAAACATTATTATGGATTATGAACTCATATTTTAGCCAGAAGTGACCGTTTAAAATGGATTAAATGATGGCTTTTTTCTTACAAACATTGGACTGGAGTGGTTATAGTAATAGTAGTTATCACTGGACTGGACTAGAGTTGTGTGGATTACTTGTGGATTATTGTGATGTTTTTATCAGCTGTTTGGACTCTCATTCTGACGGCACCCATTCACTGCAGAGCATCCATTGGTGAGCAACTGATGCAAAGCTACATTTCTCCAACTCTGTTCCCATCCATCTTGAATGGCCTGAGATTGAGTGCATTTCAGTAAATTTAAATTTTAGGGTGAACTATTACTTTTATAATACAATTATTGGTTCCGTTCCAAAAACTTGAAAGTTGCCAACACAGGCATGATTTTACAGCATTACAACGTAATGAGTCTCTTATGACAATTAATTTTATTATCGATGCGTCTCACTAGGTTTTGGAAGCGAGCCATTGTGTCTCCTCCTGTAATTTGGCTTTCATGTTAAATAACTTTAAGCCAAAGTTGTAGAAAAGCATAGTCTTACGTGGAACAGCACCGGTGAATCGGTCAGGCTCTAAGGAGAGCAGTCTCTGTCTCAGTTCATTATGTCCGCTGTTGGGTGGTCCAATCAGGGTGATGGGACGCTTGCAGTTGGGTGGCTGATGGTAAAGTGCCACCTCCTCATAGGTCAGGATATCCTCGCTGTAGTGCTCTGAACAACGACAAATATTCATTACTGGTGAGTCTTTGCAAAATATAAATGTCATTAGTCTATACCAGGGCTATTGAACTCAGCTCAACATGTTAAAAAGACTTCAAATGAACAGTGATTTGGGGATTTCTCAGAGAAATTCCCAAACGATGACTGCCCACAACAAAAAGTAAATGCTGGATCCTAAAGGGTGAAGGTAAAACAGTGTTTTTTTCTCGGTTTGTCTTCTGTTTTTAAATGCAAATTGCACCCTGGGCGTGAGAAACGCTTTCATTATTATTTCTTATTGCCCATCTTTAGTCTGGAGAGGCATGCAAGAGAAGAAACCTTCCTCCGTGAGTCAGTTAGCTAACGACCCTTATATCCTCTGCCGTTAACCCACCCGAAACCATTCACACCTCAAATCCATCAGCTTAAACAAATTAACACTAAAACAAGTGGAAAAATGCCCTATACCTGCACACAAGCCATAGCCAGTGCATCCATAAACAACCACTCAGAATACCCTAACAACTGCATAGCAACACACTAGAAACCACTCAGAACACCCTAGCAACCACACAGCAACACACTAGGAGCCACTCAGAACACCATCAACCACATAGCAACACTAGAAGCCATTCACAACACCCTAGCAACTGCATATCAACACTAGAAGCCATTCACAACACCCTAGCAACTGCATAGCAACATTAGGAGCCACTCAGAACAACCTAGCAACTGCATAGCAAGCAACACACTAGGAGCTTCTCAGAACACCCTAGCAACCGCATAGCAACACAGCAGAAGCAACTCAGAAAACCCTAACAACCACATAACACACTAGAAGCAAATCAGAACACCCTAGCAACCGTATAGCAACACACCCGAAGCAACTCAGACAACCTAGCAACCACGTAGCAACACACTTGAAATCACTCAGAACACCCTAGCAACCACATAGCAACACTAGAAGCCATTCCGAACACCCTAGCAACTGCATAGCAACACCCTAGAAACCACATAACACTAGAATCCATTCAGAACACCCTAGCAACTGCATAGCAACATTAGGAGCCACTCAGAACAACCTAGCAACCGTATAGCAACACACCCGAAGCAACTCAGAACACCCTAGCAACCACATAGCAACACTACAAACCACTCCGAACACCCTAGAAACTGCATTGAACACTAGGAGTCACTCAGAACACCTTGGCAACTGCATAGTAACAACATAGCAACCACCCACAGCATTCTAGCTATGTTTTACTAGAACTGATGACTAGCACAATAAGAGAAGGAACAATTAGTTCAATGAAGGATACATTTCGATTTCTTGACTAGGAATTCAGCAGGTACTCACCGATATTCTTACTTGGGTTGAACAAGAGTTTTTTTCGTTGTTTTTGGCTTTTCTTTGCACGCCAAAGTTTCCCTGATGAAAGAAGAACCATTATCAGTGAACTTTCAACACAATGATCAACGGCAAAGCTTTTAAGGGATGATGAAAGCTAAAAAAAAGCAGTTCAGGTGTATGTTTGTGTAAGTAACTTCAGACAGACGGGGTCTAACTCACCTTTATACTCTTGATTTCTGTCTGTGATGGTTTTCTTCATAGCTTCTCTGTGCTGCTGGAAGCTCTTCCCTTGAAAGAACACAACAAATAGCAACCAGTACATGTCTTAGTAGCTGCTGTACATCCTAGACATTCAACTATTATTTAGGGAAAGATGATATTATATGCCCTGAAAGACATGGAACTGTCAGTGTTAAAATAACTCCAATTAGTATGTGAACCAATATGGTTTATCAGTAGAACTGGGCAAATATATATCTCATCATTTTTTACCTTTTGACCATATCTAATAAATACCTCAAATTTGCTCTGAAATGACTTCAAATTCGGACTGGGATGCCATTGATCTCTAAGATTTCATCTCCTTCACTGAGCAGGTTGCTTTTCTCAGCAGTCCCGCCGCTCACCACCCGACTGATGACCACGCGATCATGTTCATTCCGAACGGTCACGCCCTAAACAACATTAAGGTATAGCGGTACAACAAACACACAGACAGATACTACAGTAACACATTCAATGCTGCCATTAGATGAATGACTCAGACACTTACCAGAGGCATGTCACGAGTTTTCTCCAGGGAAACCAGTTTGGTGGTCTTTTCATCCTGGCCCACTGATTCAGTAGTTTCAACATCTAATTCCTGTTCAGTAATACAGTCATGAGCTTCCATCAGGGCCTGAGGAAGAGCCATGATCATCAACACTTGTGAATGGAGATGTCAGCATCAATTCTTTTGACTTGAGCCTGTAAGGAATCATCTAGAATACCCTAGCAACCACATAACAATACCCTAGAAACCACATAGCAACCACCCAGAAGACCCCTGCAATTGCACAGCAACATTTCAAAATGCTTAGAACACCTTAATAATTGCATATGAACACCGTTGCAACCACCTAGCAACTCCTTAGTAAACACAGAAAACACCTACAACCTAGTAATACCCTTGCAACCACCAGAACACCATAGCAACTGCATAACAGTCTAGCAACGCCATTGCAATCACCTAGAACACCATAGCACAACATTTTAAAACACTCAGAACACCTTAGACACTGCATCGCAACACCCTAGCGACCACATTTCAAATATATAATGAAATGTCATATCAAACACAGAGAACACCATAGTAACAGCTAGCAACGTCCTTGCAATCATATAGAACATCATAGCATCCACAGCACAACATTTTAAAACACGTGACGCAGGACACCTTAGCGACCACCAATCAACTCCCTGTCAAACACAGAGAACCATACAAACAACCTACCAACACCCTTGCAACCACTCAGAACACCACAGTAACCGCACTGCAACATGCTATACCACTCAGAACACTTTAGCAACTGCATAGCAACACCGTAGCAACCAACTAGCAACTCCATAACAAATACAGCAAGCACCCTATAGCAGTTACTTAGCAACAGCCAAGCAACCATCCAGAACACCATAGTAACCACAAAGCAACATTTTAAAACAAGTAGAACACCCTAGACACTGCATAGCAACACCCGAGCAACCAATTAACTCAGAGAACACCCTAGCAATAGCCTAGCAACCACCTAGAACACCATAGCAACCACACACCATTTTAAAACACTTAAACACCTTATAAACACCATAGAAACCACCTATCAACTCTTTATGAAATAGAGAACACCCTCGCAACTACATAGCAACTCACTAGCAAACACACCCTATAACAGACTAGCAACCAATCGACTCCCTATAGAATACAGAGAACACAGCCTAGCAACAACCTAGAACGCCATAGCAACTACACCAAAACATTCTAAATCACTTAGATCATCTTAGCAACACCCTAGCGACACCTATCAACTCCATATCAAACACAGAGAACACCCTAGCAATGGCCTAGCAACACAGAACACCACAGCATCCACATGGAAACATTTTAAAGCACCTGTAAGAACAAATTAACACCTGTATAGCACCACCCTAGCAACCACTCACAACACCCTAGCATTATGGTGGCAACTTCAATGTAAAAAACAAGTTATGTAGAATACCTGTATGCTTTGAAAACAAGTTCTGCCTTAAAAAAACGTTATTTAAACAGGCAAACAATCAAACTTCTTTCAAGCTGAGAAGCACCCAAACAAGTTCCCTCCCCTGTCGTTTAACCCGAGACTCTGTCCCGGCCACAAGATTGGCGCTTTACCTCAGTGAAGGTGACAGGTGTCCCGTACCATGCAATAATAACTCCTGCCGACATCAGTTTCTGCCAAGCGCGATGCACAGCTTAACCTGAACATAAACCCAATCCACCATAATCTCCCACAGCACTGTCAATCATCACATCACCTCTTACCTCCTCATGCATTTATAAAGTATGAAGAAAGACAGAGCCGCACTGTTTTAAATGGCTGGCGGGACGCCCACTGTGTGTGAGGTGATAGAAAGCAGCAGGAGGGCTGGGAGAGGGCTGAATATCTGCAGGGAGGGGAATCATCTCATGGCCTGTTCTGTGACAGGTATTTGTTTCTTAGGCCATTAATTGGATCTAACCTGTGGTGTGTACAAATAGACACGAGGGGAAGTTGTTTTCACGCCCTTGTTAGGGTTTGATGTGGGCCTGAATATGAAATCAGGTCTTGATTTTTTGATCAAATGACTGATTGATAATTTTGTGCATCTGCTTCACTAGTTCAGGTGTGGCCTGATATGGAGGCAGACATAAGGACAAATTATGCTAAATGCAAACAGTAAATTGCAACTAACCATATCATCATGATCATGCATATTTTTGAAAACAAAATAAAAGGCTTATCAGCTTTTAAATGGGATGAGAAAATCCCTAGTAAACACAGAAAACACCCTATAGCAACTACCTGGCAACAGCCAAGCAACACCCTTGCAACCACCCAGAACACCATAGCAGCCGCATAGCAACACTTTAAAAGTCCTCAGAAACTGCAACACCCTAGCAACCACCTATCAAACACAGAGAACATCCTATCAAGTACCTTGCAACAGCCTAGCAACACCCTTGCAACCTCCCAGAATACCATAGCATTTAAAACACCAGTAACCATGTAGCAACTGCATAGCAACACCCTAGCAACCACTCACAACACCCTAGCATTATGGTAGCAACTTCAATACTTTGATTCAGAAAATGTAAAATTCTACTTATGTAGACTCATTTTATGCTTTGAAAAAGTGCTGCCTTTAGTCAGATGATCCTGATGTTGTGTGAGATTCAGCAGTCCTCATCCTGCAGGTGTGGTGACGTCAGCAGGCCTGTGAGTTCTGTGGCTTCATTATATTTACTAGACTGCAGGACATTCTACATGAAGACCGAGAACAGCAATCAACAACACAGATGAGTTTCATCTAGACGTGTGCTGTCACGGTGCGTGCGGGGAGATGAAGCTAGGACTCAATCTCTGGAGAAATGGTATTTTATTTTAGTAAAAAATGAAACAAAAACAAACTCAAACCACCCCGAGGGGGAAAAACAGACAGGCAGGCCTAAAGCGGCACACATGCAGACACGAAACACACACAATGAGAAATGACGGATCAGCACAGGACGGCAGACACAAGGAGAATAAATAGGAACCAAACGAGGAGGCTAACGAGGGAGACACAGGTGGAGCAACTAAAACAATAACGAGGTAACAAGATGGGCGGGGCCAGACAATAGACAGGAGAGAGCACATGGCAACAGACAAACACAACACAAGCCATGTGCTCCCAGAACACAGTCATCTGGTGGCCCTCCTGGGCACACCGGCTGAAGACTGTGACATGTGCAGCATCTAGAAAAGCATCATTATGACTGTTGCTCGTTAAAATAACCTGATGCAGATGGTCCAATACTTCTCCATTACATTTTATTCACAGTTTGCACAACTCAAATTTACAAATTTAGTTTATTGCAAATCAAAAGATTTACATTTACATTTACATTTAGTCATTTAGCAGACGCTTTTATCCAAAGCGACTTACAATTGGGGGTAAGCAAAAGATTTCCTAAGCAAAAGATTTGCTTAGGAAATGAAATTTGTAGATGAGTTTCAGTTAACATCCTGAGAAGCAAAAAGCTATGTGTTTGTAAGAAACAAATCCATCCTTAAACTGTTTTTAACTTCAAACCGTTGCTTTCGGCTAAAACATGAGTCCATAATCCATAATAACGCTTCCTACAGTGAAAAAGCCCATCCCCTGTTCTCTCTCACATCAAAATTCACTCACATATTTGTTTAGAGCCGTTTTTGCTTGTAAACGGTGCTTGATCTGTGCAGATTTCTCTCCTGATTCAGACCAGACAACTTTGTCACAGTAGGAAGCGTAATTATGGATTCTGAACTCGTATTTTAGCCGGAAGCAACAGTTTTAAACTAAAAATGCCTTAATAATGAATTTCTTACAAACATGCAGCTTTTGTCTTCTCCAGATGTTAACTGATGGACTGGAGTGGTGTGGATTTCGTGTGGATTATTGTGATGTTTTTATCAGCTGTTTGAACTCTCATTCTGACGGCACCCATTCACTGCAGAGGATCCATTGCTGAGCAAGTGATGCGATGCTACATTTCTCCAAATCTGATGAAGAAACAAACTCATCTACATCTTGGATGGCCTGAGGGTGAGCACATTTTCAGCATTTTTTATTTTTGGCTGAACTATTCCTATTATACACTTTCCTAGTGTGAGAAACCTCTAGAACCACATGGTATCAAACATCCAATCAATCCAATAAATTTTTTTTGAGTGAAATATCCAGTTTCCCAATGAAATGTCACATTACAGCAATAAAAAGGCTTGTGAATGCTGTTTCATGTTGACTATGTGATGAAACAGCTCGCTAACACCTCTTTGCGTTGCATTAAACACCTAATCAGCACACACACAGGCAGTGACTGTAATAATCCATTAGATCTCATTCTGGCCTCCAGGATCTAGTCTTTGTATCTTGTCTCAGTCCATAAGCCAATGACGGATTACAAACCCAGCTTCATCCAGCTACATGCTTTGGCACAGGGCAGATCAACCAATTACCACGTCCTTATTAAACACTTCAGGTGCCTTTGCTCAAGTACAATGACTACAAATACTTAAGAAAAGAAGAACAGATTCACACATATATTTTAAAGTGTAATAACATTTTACAATATTACTGTTTTACTGTATTTTGTCAAATAAATGCAGCAAAAACATAAAAAAACTCCAAACTTTACAACGGTAGTATATATTTCCTTGGATACACAGAAATCTAGATAAAAATAACTAATTAAAGGATTATTTTACTTAATATTTGTGAGCGGTTTACATATTTATGCGTATTATTTTATTATTAGAATAGTTTTAAGCATGCAGAGATGCTAGCTATTGCATTCTTTCGAGTTGAATGGACACAGAATACGTAAAAGAATGGCATAATAACTTCCTACTCGGTATGAAAGTTTGTAGCATGCATGGCATACCTGGATGATGTCCTATAGTGCAGTATGCAACAGAGCACACTGCATGAAATATCATACCACACAAAGCAATGTATCTGACTAGACCTTCGATTTCCAGTTTTATAAATAAACTGGAAGTAAATATCTTTTCTCTTTTAGAACTTGTTTTGCGATCAGACTGGTAAAATTTAAGACACTTTGCAGTGCATACAGTTCAGTATTCCAGCTGACGTTATGAGCAAACATTCTGGTCTTTAATAATGTTCTTAAAACGTTAGCACAAAAATTGTAACATTTCATGAAACGTTCATGTTTATTCAATTCATTCATTCATATTTCTGAAACCTTTTAGTTGGACGTTCATCTAACAATTTTCACATGTTACTACCAGCATATGCTGGCTAGGTATGTTTTGAAGCTGGGATGCTGGTTTGAGCTGGTTTAAGCTGGTCCTTTGCTGGTTTATGCTGGTCCTTAGCTGGTCATGTGTTGGTCCTAAACTGGTCCGACCAGCTTAAGACCAGCACATGACCAGCAAAGGACCAGCATCCCAGCTTCAAAACATACCTAACCAGCATATGTTGTTTTTTTCAACAGGGAGAGAACATTCAAATGTAACATTCCCATAATGTTCGCAAAATTCTAAAATGGAATGTTGCTTAACATTCGCATAACCAAAAATCATTAAGTTATTCAAAAATATATGTTATCCATAAATCATTCATGGAAGTTTTTTTTTTAATGTTTTAGTTGGATGCTTGTCTAAAATTTGCAAATGTTACGTCTTGCTTCAGAATATATTCGTCTAACACGGTTTAAAATGTTACTACATTTTTTCAGAATGTTCTGAGAACATTCCAAAGTAACGTTCCCATAATGTCTGCGTACTGTACGCGCACCATCCGATTATTGTAACCGCGCATACTTTATATGTGCAGGTCGCACATGTGCATTGACTTGGTTTTGTACTAATCAGTTGTTCCACAAGGTGTTGATTCAACTTTGTTCCAGTAGAATGAAACGACAACGAACGAAAGTAAAGAGAGGGAACAACAACAACAAAATAGCGGAGACTGCAACTACAGCAGACACTCACATCGACAAGCGCTTGTGAGAGGGTTATGAGATAGCAGCAACTTTAGTTTAAAAGAGTACAAAGACATTTTATCAGTCATAACATCTGGAGAAAAATAGAGCAGACGCTGGACAAAGACGACGCTTTCTAGAGTGTACGCTATCAAATAGAGTACAGGATCCATAGAGGAGGACTTAACCATTAGGCAAAGCTAGGCGACCGCCTTGGGCCCCCAAAAGCCAAGGGCCCCCAAAAGCCAAGGGCCCCCAAAAGCCAAGGGCCCCCAAAAGCCAAGGGCCCCCAAAAGCCAAGGGCCCCCAAAAGCCAAGGGCCCCCAAAAGCCAAGGGCCCCCAAAAGCCAAGGGCCCCCTAAAATGCTTCTTATATACGAGATGCGCGTTTAGCGCAGACACACAGACGGTTGTCATGATAATGAACACCACAGCAACCACTTGTGCGTCCGCGCTGAACGCGCATCTTGAAGCAAATGTAGTTCCTTTCCACACAAGCATAATTCATGTTTGGTTGAAATAAACCTTCGGCGTGTAAATGTATAATTTCCTTCATTTTAATTCAAATGTGTAATTAAATAAACATTTTTTAAATGTTTTTTTAAGTTTATAATTAGACAGCCTTGCATTGTGTACAATTTCTTAGTGAAAATTACCTCAAAGCACCACCTACTGTCCAACTTACACTAATACTATTATAACCTGTGTAAATGTGAGCAAGCGGTCTACAAGATGAAAGAAATCCATTTGTAACGTGCATGAAAAATCAAAAAATAAATGGACACGACTAAGGGACA